TACTCGAGACAAATATAAAAGTGGACATGTATAATTTTCAGGTTCACAAATTATTAGAGGGAATTGCTATATAACAAAAAAGGCATGAATATAAAGATAAGTTCTTCTAACCAAAACAACACTAACATTTATTGTATAAAAACAAAATTACAATCATAGTTCTCTACACGATCACTTCATCACACCAACAACACACATATATCAATCAAACATAAACAAATAAAAACTAAGAGAACTACATACCAGAAATTGACAATAAGCAAAAACACAAATTCATTAATGAGAACACCAACAAAGATAATCATGGGATGTCTCCCATAGAGTACTTGGTTTACTATCGTCAGCCCGATAAAGGATTCCACTAGAATCAAAATTTCATTTAAGTAATCCTTGATCAATCACCCAATCTTTTTTAGCTCCTTGGAAATCCTCAAATTTTAAGTTTTCTTTCAGCTCCTCATTTTTAGATTGATTAAGACTTTAATTCTTCATGTTTCTTTCTAGACCCAATATTCTTCCAATAATTTTATCAATTTGTATATTCATATCATCCTTAAAATTTATAAGAAATGTATCTCTATATAATAATTCAAGATCTCCTAAATTTTGAATTGGATTCTCTCTATGTTTTTCTGATTTTAGATCAAATAATACTTAGTTGCTCTCTAGTCCAAGATTGCCTTTCAATTCTTCACCTTGCGATACTAATATTTGATATATTATTGGCTCAGTTATCTATTCATAAAGCTAGATAATTATCGTCCCAAAATAGGTCTTCTTCTGAAATATTTTTATTCCAGCTAAATATTGAATAATTTTCCCAACCTAGATGGTTATAATTCGAATAAGGATTGTACATCTCATGGCAAGTTTCAAAAGTGTTAGTCTCGATCATTTGTCCTAATGAATTTTTCTCAATATTTAGGTGCCGTGAAGAAAAACTTTCTACAGATTGATCTAACTTCCCCGCAATATTTGCAACATGAGAAGTTTAATTAATAAGCATATCTTCTTGAAAATTCGCTACTCTCTTGGGGTTTACTCATTCGAAGCTACTAGTATTATAATCCAAATATGAATATTCATTTTATTGTTAACCCACCATTTTTACATTAAATTCAATGAGCCTTTTCTGAATCGTAATCCTCCTAAAAATTCTCTCTGAATCTAGACCGTAAAATTCATGGTTTGCAACTCCTGACTATGCATGCAAATTTAAAGACTTAACTAATATGACATATATCAAAAATATTTTTGGTATTTTGGACTTTCTTAATAAAATAAACACACTATATAATAATATTATAACTTCAAAATCTAAGTCTTACAAATTCAACTAAAAATTATCCTAAAGTTCTCATTGTAGCTTCCTCGGCAATGGCGCCAAACACTATATCCGACCCGTAAGTACATATGTAATTTAACTTCTAAAAAATGACTAAAAACCTTACCCAATATATATTTACGCAAATAGTGTGCAAAATCGATATGTAATAAAATTTAGAATTTTTTATTAATAGTTTACACACTAGGGATACTATGCAAGTATACATATGATTTCATGAAATAAAAACTTTATTTAAAAACCCTAGTATCGATCCCACAGGGAAGCGAGATAAGAAATCTCTTAAGCTCATTTAGTCTAGTACTATCAGGTCTTAGTTTGAAATTTTCAAAAAGATTTGTTTTCCTAAATTCATTAATTTATGCTAAACTTTTAATTAATGAAATTAAATAAAAACCCACTCTAAGGAGACTTGTTTAATTTTGGAATGATCTTAAGTAATTAAAATACCTTTCTCCTTGCAATGAGATCATAATTATTGTAGGAATAGAATGTTTAAAAATCAAATGTATTATTGTGACAAATAAGAGCGTTCATATTATTTAGCTCTTTCGAGCATAAAGAACATTGATTAATTTAAAGTTGTTGTTGGCATTTATAGCAGCGTTGGGTAGGTTTTAGTCTCTCACCTCTAGATCACCCACTATGCCCTCTCTATAGAACCTACCAGTGACTCTCACTTCCAACTTTATACCAAATTGATAACAAAAACTAGACTGTCACCCTGGAAACATCAACTCTACGCCCATCAATCTTATCTCTCAATCTATTTACACTCCCTCTCAGGCGATCACCATGGCTCTTTCCAAAGTGAAATGTAGTATTCACTAGTTGGTGAAATCTTAGACCTCTCGGGTTTACTTCTCCTCAAATTTTAACAAAACAAACAGTCAGTTTGCAAAGTATATGAAGTATTGGAGAAAATATCATCACAATTTTTTAGGATAAAAGAAGTTCTCCAAACCATTCTAATCCCACACATGATTTTGAAAACATAACAGAAAGAGGAAAACTACTCACTAAAAATGGAAAAAACATAACAGAAAACTTTGTTGCAAATGACTTTGAAAACACACAACTATATTGCAATATTTCAAAGAAAATACAAAAAGAGGCTAGGACTTATCATTTGCAAAAGATTCATACCCTCTTTACAAAGCAAATAGCAAACCTTACACTTCTTCCAACGTTCAAAAAGTCACCAAGGCTCCATAAGAGATTTCCCCCTATAGAAACACACACATACACACCCACACACACACACACACACACACACAAACACACATGGCACACACCTCCACTTCTTCCCTTCTTGAGAGGTGTCAAAGCCCTCATTTTAAAGAGACACAAAACACCTCTTCATTCCAAGTGACAAACCTCTTCAGTCCAAGAGACACACCACTTCACTCCAAGAGACACATCTCTATCATTTCCAAATGTCTAAATTCATTGCATGAGTCATTGGGTTGTGCATAGCCATCCATAACCTTCCAAAACACCTTGAAGCCACAAAAAAATCATCCATAACCGTCCCTGGAAGGTTTATGTTGCCTATGCACAATTTTTGGCACCTGGGCATCGTTCTCTTATCATCACTGGTGATGAGGCACCACGTTGCAGATAGCTCCACTGTTTCGCTCCATTTCAATTCAGCTCCATTGCGCTACAAATTGGTATACCTACAAGATAGATATGAAAATAACATTTTCTTAAAGAATAATTTCATTCTTAAGCATGCGATAAATGTAAATAAGATTAAACATAGAAAGACATGTCAAAATGTGTGAAGTCAGAATTTTCTTCCATACTCATTTCGGCTCCAAATTGTACCGTGTTTGCTTCATTTTCTCCAAAAGTCCATTTATTGCGTCTGAAACAAAAACATATAAAATATCTTCCTTTAACGTGCATGATCATAAATTTATCTTAAAAAATGAGCTAAAAATGTATTTTAGAATATGCAATTTTGAGCTGTTTCATTGAGTGAATAAAAGAGAATCTGAATCTAAGCCAATAATCGGGGTATGACAGAACCGGCAATGACCATGTAATATTGACTCCTCAATCGATCCAAGATCATTCAAATAAAATGTCAAAGGTTGCTCCAACCATCAATATGGGACATTTCTCATAACCAAGGTTGCCCATTAGATTACGATGATACACCTTCTGCCTGACAGAATAAACCTTCACAAAGAATAATGTCTTTATTTAGGGTTTCCTCGAGAAAGCAAACCGAATATCTATCGACCGACAAAATGTATATCAGTCGATCGAATGTCGACAAGCTAATTAGGCTGAGCATTATAAATATGAAGCAACAATAATAAAGATTACAAATATGAATAGGCACCAATGACGGTTACTACAGATAAAAGATCCATAAAACAGTTACGAATATTTAAAGATGTAATAGCTCATAAATGATTAATATTGTCTCTATTTAATAAGGGAAAAGTGTGCAATCTACTAGACATCCCTATGGTCTATAAATGGGGGAGTCATCCTTTTAGGAAAGAATGTTAAATCTAATCGAAGATAATTAGTACTATTTGTTATTCACCGTCCTATTCTCTCTTATTCCCCCTATCTATTCTCTCTCATAACTCTCATCATACTCTATCCTTTAGACGAGACCCGAAGTACAATTTTGGATTGAAAAATATTAGCCCTAGCTCTAAGTCAATCTACTATTGATTTTAATGATAATCGTGATTTAGAGTTAAAATGATGGGTCTTATCAGAAAGTTTTTGCTTGGCCATCTTGAAAACCATGTTTCAATAGTCCGTTTTTTTATTATTTAGCATATTTTTATGTCAGTTTTGTTGATAATTCTAAGAGCAACTTCAATATAAAATAGCAAACCATAATTATATGCTGCATTTGTACGGACAAACTTATTGTAGAGTGCATAAATTCCTGTTACATGAACTTGTAGTTAACTGCACTTCCATCAAAATCGACATCCAAGCTCTTAATAAAGAATTAATGAATTTAAAATGAATAACCAAAGATAATGAACATATTTATTAATTTTTTTATTGATTGTTCAGCATTGTCCCATAGCTTAAAGATCCTTAATTTTGTTGGAAAAAAAAGACATAAAACATCACGTTAAAAAGAAAATCCAATCAAATAAAAACCCTCATTTCCTTTCTCATAAAAGAAAAATATCCGACTGGCTAATATAACCATTGTTAGACTCATCGTCACTCATCAAAATATTTTATTCAGCCGGCAGTCAGTGAGAAGGAATTCCATCAAGAGTGCCCACAAAACCTTGAGAAACATAAGGGAAAAGAAATGTATTCTGTTCTTGGTGAAATGTTTATGTTCATCTTTTCATTTTTTGAAAAGACAACGGTGAGTTAGAGCGCAAATTTTTTAGTACAAGAGGGAATTCAAAAGGAAAGTTCATATTACCCTAAAAAAGCTTTTTTCTCATATTTTTTCCAAACCGATGAACTTCTCCATTCCAAACAAAGAAAAACATTTTGAAACCAGAATTCAAACCTACAACTTAAAATATAATATTAAAACATAAATGATCATAGGCATCCAAATTGAATTTTTCCAACAAAACAACACTGACTTTTAAAAAACCTACAGCCACCTACTAACCTATGCATAGATATCAGAGAAGGTAAGCAAACATTAATAGAAAATCAGAAACATACTTGAACAAATAGAAACGAATTATGTTATAGGAGAAGCTGTTCAATTAATAAAAACATTCTCGAAACACAATCAGCTTAGGTCGAATCAGAATAATCGTTTCCCCTTGATTTACTCTTTAGAATGAAGCTGAAGCCCGAGGAGGTGATGGCCAGAACTGTGCATTCTTTACCTTTGAAACACTGCTAAGAACTCTGAGAGGTGTTAGATTTCCAACAACAGTTACCTTCTTCTTTGCCATATCTATTTCAAAGGAACTCACCCCTGTCCAAGACAGTAAAGAAATAATAAAAGAACTGATTATGCTTCATTAATTCCAAAAAAATTGGTAAATGTACTCGGAAGTTCGCTAACATGACATTTTAATGATTTTAATGCCAAAAAGGTGCTTTTTTAAATGCTGGAACAAGGAGATTCTGAGAGTTTCCTATAATTTCTATACCATTTTAAGACATTAGAACTAAATTTAGCAGTTTCTTATATAATGAAAACATAGATATCTTGTTCTCCAAAGTTTTAGAAACTTTATGATCTAATTCTTGTGTATGCTTCAGTTGTCTACCCTGCTGCAACAGAAGCTAGGAAAAGGGTTCATCGGTTATTATAAAACTGCTACTTCTGTAGTCCAAAAGCAATTTGCTAATTCACCAGAAAATCTACAGACAAAATTAGCACCATTTTTCCTACCAGAAATTAGAACAAAAAAATTCGTGTTTCTTTGTTGAGAAACACATATAAAAACAAAAGCTTGTTTTCGAAGTTATTAATTTCAAATTTGTTTCTAGATGTTGGCTTCTTGAAAGAAGAAAGAAGAGAAAACTTAAGAGAACTACTTTAGATTGAAGGGAAAATTAAAACTACAAACCTTTTGTACAGCCTTACAATATTTAAATTTAGAGCTAATAACAAACTTCCAAGAAAAAGACCTAAAAATCAGCCAAGAAAATAACAAGAAACAATATCAAGAAAAATAGCAACTAACTCTTAAGACTAAGGAATAAATTTGACTCAATTAAACATAGACTTAATAAGCAGTCAAAAGCATGTATTCCAACACAAGAAAATTAAACTAGCAGTTTTCTGTTTGGTCAACAACAAATCTCTATTAAAAGTTAAGAAAATTGACTAAAAGCAAAGAAAATTGACTAAAAGCAAGCAACAATAGCTCGTATAATGCAGTAAGACAAAGCCACAAACCTTCCATCTTGGAGACAAGTTTCTTTACTTTTCCTTCACATCCTTTGCAATGAAGTGAAACCCTCAAGACAACGACCTACAAATAAATCAATTAAACAAACAAACCTCAACAATTCTCTCAAAAAAGAAGATGAAAAAAAATATATAATACGTAGACGAACTAAAACACTAACCTGGTCCTGTCTTGCTGAAGTACGAGCCCTGAGAACATCTAATTCCTCCTGGTCACATATTTCAGGATCAGAATTTTTTTTCTCAGCTGTAACTATAGCCTCGGAGTTATCAATCTCAGATACAAAATGAAACGAAGAGCCGTCATTTAGAAGGCAGCGAGAAGAGCCCGCAGGACTAGCTAACGCAGTTTTGTTTTGCTTCTCTGTGCTCTTTCTGTTATTATGGCTGTGCGTCTTGCTATTTGAGGCTATTTGGTGATTTGAAGCTCTTGGTCTTCTTGGGCTCCGATTGTAGACATCAGCAGCTCGGACGATGCACGGGCGGACCATTGACCGTTGCTCGAGGCTTGTGCATACTGCTGCAGATGCCGGAGATGCGCAGGACAGTCCGACTCCTTTCTTATCCTTGAAGAGTAGAGAAGCCATGGTTTTTGGGGGAAGATTGCATATAAATGTGCGATTGGTGGGGGGGTAAGCCTGAAGGAAAAAGCGTTGGCTGGCTTTTATGCCTGATGAGCACAAAAGATGAAGAACAATTGACGAGAGCGACGCAAACCAGCTGCGGTTACAATATTAAGGCTTTAGTCTCATTTAAGAAGCCTGATACTTGTTATACATCAGAAATACTTGTTATAGATCGCTCGAATTTCTATAAAAAGTTGAATGTTATGATTAATTTGAAACCGGAGCACTGCATTTGGATCGTCCTTCGTTAGAAACCATGGGACCTCTCATAAAAAGTATAATCGAACCAAAGAACTCAGAAGCATTTGATCTTAGGGATGATATTCTATATTTATCTCCCTCGACTAAATTTGGGATTCTCCATAACGATGCCCACAGGGCACCACATTGAATGTTTGTTCGATTCTCTGTGAAGGCTTATTGTCCAAATGAGAGTTGTCTATCAAATTGCGATGATGCATCCTCTGCCTAATGGTCAAAGTTCACCCTAATGATCAATTGAGGATTCTCTCTTAAAGGTCGATCGATGACCTTCTAGCCGAATGAAGTTCTTCCAGTAGAATAAAGTCCTTCGAGCAGTTTTAACAACTATGAGGCGACTTAATGACAGGAGACCATTAAATGCCCCTTTTCAAGAAGTTATGAATACGCAACAGAACCAACATTTGTTTGGATATTAAAGGATCCAAGAGTCAAATATAAAGATGAAATTTTGCAATAGTTACTTTTAGTATTCCAATTCAAACAGTGACAAATTCATAACTTTATTAGATACCCCTTTGATTTATATGTAGGGGGTCATTTCTTGAAGAAAGGGCCGCTGAATTTACTCTCTAAGAACTTGTACTGTTGTGCACTATCTCTCTCTCTTTCTCTCTAAATTTAAATTCAACTCGTCGTTCCACTTTCTATTCATTGTGTGTGATCCACATGATATTTTTAGATTAAAAATCTTAAATGGTGTAATGAGCGGGGAATCATGTCGTCAACAAGAATAGGAGAATGCACAAAGAAGGAACTCCCTTGAAGGAAATCTCAAACATGGAGTCAGTTAGAGAAACTGTGCGGCAAAAAATGGTGGAACTTTAAATCAAATAGTGAGACAAAAATAAAAAACCTGGTCTGCACTATACTAAAGGCAGAGCACAACCACCTCAAGAACCAAACCTTTCATCGAAGAGAACTCAAACCTTAAGGCCACCAGATGACTTAGAGGGGCGAATGATTGTGTTGTCTCCACACCAAGATTAACACCTTGAGGGGGGTGAATGGAAGTCTATTGTCAGCCTAAGATTGTGTTACCATGGTAGAACATTGATGTTGAGCCCCCCGAGAAGTTCATAACTCAATCCTTGCAATTATACAGGGGTCTGAGTAATTCAATCGACCACATAGCCTCATTTTAGTCGGTGATCTATATGCTCAAATTCTCTAATGCAATAAAGTGTCAGGTTGTTCTACAACATTTTGAGTGATTTGGTCGTCGGGTGGTCAAATGGCATCACGATAAGAATCATTAAACCTTTTGGTTATTTCAAGAAGTTGTTCATTGTGCAGTTCGCTAGTGCCTAAAAGCCCCACAAGGACTCACAGGCTATGTGGCTCGTTAACGGGGGCAAACTAAAGCCTTCGAGCATATGTCACTTCATTTCAGAATGAGATGCCAAAAGTACGAAAGTTGGAGCCTGTAGTAGCACAGGTCACTCTGGACCAAAAGCTAAAGAGTTCACAATTCAAATATTTTATGTGTTTACGTCAGTCAAATAGTTTGACCCAACTCTTGGAGTTATCTAATGATCAAATAAAAAAGGAGTAATATGTTCACTCGGCTTACCAAAAATTGAAAAATCTTACAACTATTTGAAGAAAAAAGGCTTGTGAGAAGATTGGTGAAGGGAGAATGATGACCAACGCTCCAATATTGATAGATGTCGGTGCTAGCTTGGTAGTAGAGAGACCGATAGAAATTCATGAATACAATGTTTATCAAATGACCAGTTGACCAGCAACCGTGGAACATCAGAACACACTTAACTGAGTGTTTTAATGGCTAAGTTGGTAGAAACCAATTAAGATAACGATTACGCAAGAAGGCTCCAATGATGAGAACTAGAATTTTTTTTTAAAACATGAATAAATTATGCATATATCATAAAGACTATGGTCATGACACGAAAGAGTGCCAACACTTTTGTAGCCTTGTGGAAAAATTGATTTGGACAAAAAACATTAAAGGGTTTGTGCTCCTATGAGTGCTTAAAGGCAAGAGAAAGCCCCTATAGAAGATGATTCAGACAAGCCCATTCGAGCCAACAATATCCATATTAGCATGATAGTTTCAACTATATTAGGTAGACACTCTATCAGAAAAAAATGCCATCACAAAAACAAAGCATATAAATAAAACACCGTTGCATTTTTTGCAATGTGGAACCCTTAACCTCCGATTATCCTGAACGATGCAAATTTACCCCCCACCCTAAAGAATCCTCACAATGATGTCATAGTAATTATATTAACGATTAACAACTACTATTGGTTCAGCATCTCGTATATATATATATATATATATATATATATAAGTTTAGAAAAATTTGAAATAAAACTGATTCCATATCTTTTATAGTTAAAATGAAAGAGCACTACACCTGAAGCTATGTATCTATCCCGAAAGATAAACATATATCTTAATGGTGAGACTCAATCAAATAAACTAAGAAATATATGACATCCGTTTGGTCTGCGAAAACCAATTTTATTTTTAAGCATGCAAGTTCCCATGAAAAATTAAATAGGGTTTATATTGAGTTGGGTTTGAAAAAGCTTCTTATAAGAGCAAGCCACTACAGTTAATTACATCTTAGATAACCGAAGTCACCTAAAAAAACTCTCAATAAAAATCAGGCGATATTATCTTCAAGGAGGTCAAAGGAATAGGACTTTTTCAATGAAATCGGACAAATGGGTGTGAAAAAGGAATGACTCAAATTTGTAACACATATTGTGGAATTCAAGGAGAGATTAGGGGATGTTATATATCTAGAGAAGAGTATCGGTGACTTCTCAAGCTAACCTATGGTTTGGCTTCTATTTTGAGGAGAAATTTTTAAATGTTCCATCCTGCCAGTTTTATTAATTAGGGCTCACATTCGTGTGAATTGATCACACAAATAGACTGGAGGATCTGAGGATTTAGCTTGTGACGACTGATGACCTCAGAATCCTAAAATGAGTTAGGCTTATATTGTATAGCAAAGTTATACAAAAGCCTAAAGATAAATTGAGAATTTATGTCATACTAGACAAACAACCTTAAAGTCCTATGGCTTGGTTATTTAATTCAAAAGAAAGAAAGGGTTTAGCTAATGTAGATATGTTTTGCTGTAGAAGATGATCATGTTGCCCACAATGCTAGTTCCAAGCTCCTCGTCGTGCCGAGAATAAGTTTTCTAATTTGTCAAGTCTTGATGTCAAATAAAATGTTCTAAGTTTAGAGTTATTTAAATATTACGCGGGATGCTAAAGTTTATTAGAGCAACACCGGTTAGGATCCTACGGTTCCCTTGTTCCTGCACCAATATTTTCTTCCGGATTCACTTAGTCTAAATGAATTTACTAAACCCAACTTAATGAGTTTCATAGTTTCATTTAGATAGTGAGAAGTCTCATTAGCAACCATAGGTTACCTCCTCGGAGGGCCGAGCATCCGATAAAGACGTTTTAATTTGGTTGCATTTTTTTTTTGTTTTATGATGTTTGTGATTAAATTTTGAGTTATATTATATTTTGAATGTTGCGGCGGTGAATTTCATATTGTTTAATTTTTAAAATTTTGTTTTTGGTTGTGCGGCTATCCTCATAGTTTTGGTTTTGGCATGCAGGGTGACATCATTGTTTAACATGCAAGTTTGAGACAAGAAGTACAGAAAGGTAAATGCAATAATTTAAAAGCATACCTGTTGGTTCTTCTCATTCCTCCACCTGAAAGGTTGGCTTTGGCAGTGTATATATATAATTTTGCAAGGAATTGAAACTTCTGGAATAGATGAAGGTATATCTACCAGACCCCAAGTTATGACTTTATTGAGCCTCCAAAGATCTTAGTGGGTGATTTTAGAAAAAAAAGGGCAAGTTCAATTTGTCCTTTAAAATATCTAAAAAATTTTGAAGTGTTCGGGGAGTGCCCTGAACTACTTCGAGGATCCCTTGAATTATTTCAAGTTCATTTAGAACTTCATCATATTCTTCCATTAATCATCTAAGGTTAGAGTGTGACTACCCCGTTGCTCAATGAAGCTCCACAATTCAATTATCTCAAGGATAGGATATCTAATCAATCTATATTTCATTTAAGAGTTATGTGGGTGGGTGCCTATAAAGCAGCTTTGAGTCATAAAAGATTTGGTGCCCATAATTAAAGTCAGGCTTGTAGTGTTTAAAGATGTTAATCACCAATCCTATTATCCTCTAAATTCAATCAATTGAGTTTATGCATCTAACCTAGGTCAATACCAAGCCCATAATAATCATAACGGGGTAATTGATGGTGGTTAAGGTTTTAGTTTAAGTGATATATGTTCTTTTTGAAATATCACATCATCATAAATTTTAGGCCTAATATATGTAAATAATCATATCATATTTCTAGCTTAAGCCCATCACTTAAGAATCATTTGATCGTAATTGACTTCCAAGTCATGATGATTAGGGGAGTTAGGATTTTTGCTCATATTATAGAAAAGGTGGCAAGTGAGTTTCTACCTTTTAATCCCATTGTATTTTAATCATCCAAAAAAAATTGACTAAGGCACCGAAATTTAAAATTACTATCTTGTTCTTTGGGCTCCTCACCTTATATTTCCTCAAGAAAAATTCAAATGGCTATGAAAATATTTTAGTATCCTATCCATGGATTAATTAAAATATCAGAGAGGAAAGTATGATTTTTCAAAAATTGATTTAATTTAAATAGCTATTTTAATCTCAAAAATAGTATTTTTCAATGTTAATTTATTTAATTAATCAAACTAAAGTTTTAATTTATGGGAAAATTATTGGAGGTTTACATAGGTGAGAAGAATACTTAGACAACGTTGTATGATTTTTTAAAAAATATTGTAATTATTATAATTATTTAAAGGTCATTTTTAATGATTATTTAAATTCAAAAAAATGTT